TTAATATATATATATATATTATATATTATATATTACATATTATATATGAATAGTTAATATAGTTATTTAAATAATAATAACTTAATTAAATTTAATTATATGAATCCGATCAAACTAGTGAAATAATGGCGACGTTATATTTTACGTAAGAATTTCAATTTATATTAAATGATTTATATGTATATCTTTATATTTTTTTAAGTTTTTTAATAATTTTTATATTTTTATTTATAAGATTTTTTTAATTTATCTTAAATTTATCGACGACATAGCTAATATATAATTTTTAAGTCCATTTTCAATATTTTTAATAAAGTTTACTTTACTTTCCCGCGTAGTAAGAAAATTATAAAGCTGATTGGTTGAATCTTTTAAAATTAACCAATAATATTAAAGATCAAGGATATGACGTATCGTTTAAAACACTGTATATGTTGAGTTGTAACCGCGGTCGCCATGCCATGCGGTTGTTTCGTGATTGACAATTTCGTTCTTGAATATATCGTTAGAAATGTGTTTGAGAAATTATTTTCTTTGTTTTAAAAAAAAAAATTTATAAGGTGATAGTGTCGAGAAAGTGAGTGCATAATTACTATGAAGCGACAAATGACGTTTTGTTGAAAATTAAAACCTTGAACCCCCCCTGTCAGTTAGAAGAGGTTGGATACAGCAGTTACAGTTTGAATCCGACGATGCATTCTGTACATAAGGAGAAACAGGTAAACTTTCATTTTTTATTTATCGAAATATTTGCATTATTTGAATAATTTTATTTAAAATGAACATTAAAAATAATATTTTTTTTCTATTAAAAATTTCATATTGAGAACACGTCGACCGGTTTTGCTTGTAGCGCTCCTTTCGTTCATTTTTCATTTTTAATTCACTGTTTTGTGCTGCCCTCTTACAGATGCATTGAAATCTTTTATGCAAGTTTCAAAACGTGCATTTGTATCGATACAACATATGCATAAACATAGGATAGAATAGAATAAATGCAACTCATATTTAAAATATTGATCATAAAAAAATTAAATATTTTGTTTTAATATTTTTTTTTCGTTACATATAAACATCTGTATTCATATATATTTATATACATTTGATGATTTTATGTTATAGAGTTTTTTATTTGGTGTTATTTGATATTTATTTATTTATTTGATAGTTAGTAATAAATTTATGTATATATAACTAAAAATTATGCTCGAATTTTTTATTGTACTCTAATGAAAATTTTATCAGTTTTTGAGATATTCTAAATCAAATTTTATTTAAATTATAATTTGAATATTTTTTTTATAAATAAAATAAC